GTAAAAATACTTGCAATACATTTGTATATAAAAAAATACCAACAAAACCTTTTATATTAATATTAACAACAATACCTATTTATAGTAAAATTACCAACGAAGCATTTTTAATGCAAAATGCATTTTATAGTAAAAATACTTGCAATACATTTGTATATAAAAAAATACCAACAAAACCTTTTATATTAATATTAACAACAATACCTATTTATAGTAAAATTACCAACGAAGCATTTTTAAAGCAAAATGCATTTTATAGTTGAATTATCAACAATACATTTTAATCAAAATGACCAACAATACATTTTATCTTTAGTTGAAGGCATACAATTGTGTTCAAAGTATTTAGATTTCGTCATTAAATGACCCAGAGAGGTAGATACAAAACATCAAACAACCAAACAAAAAAGCAACTCCATGGCCAATCGCATTCAGTTGATATACTTTGCTGTCAACCACCTTTGAGCCAACCCTGACAAAACCCAAATCAGTGCCTTTCACCTACGGAACAGGGAAGCTAACCGCCAGATCTAGATCAACTGGTATGGAAAACAGATTACACTTCCAAGCCTGTCTACCTTGGGGTCACTCTGGAGCGTTCCTTTACATACATTGCACAGACTAAAGCCAAGGTCAGGTCAAGAAACAACATCCTAGAGAAGCTGTCTAGCAACATATCGGGTGCCCATGCAGATACAATCCGAACCACCAGCCATTGCTGCTCTACAACAGAATATGACTCATCAGCAGAGCCAGATCAAGATTCATAGGGTCCCTAAGCGCTTTAAATATTTTGGGGTTCCCATGCACCTGCTATCATGGTGTCTCGCCGAGTAGTTCAAATAAAGGATATCAACACTTGGATCGTGGAAACGCTAGCTGGAAATAAATACAGAATGAACTGAAGGCGTATACATCCATCGAAAGAGACTGATCATCAGTTCCAATCCAGAATAACACCAACCAAGAAAGAACCAATCAAACCTGAGCAGCCACAGTAAAATGAGTCGCAACGAGGTTCTAACATAACTGTGACCAGAAGTGGTCGTGTAATCAACAAATCAGCGTGTTACATAATCACATAGACATATGGCTGGAATAATGCCAAACGAACATGAAGGTAATCTAACCCTGTTCACAAAAATTAAATCCCATTAAGTTAATTAGTAATACTAACTTATTCAAGAGAGCAGATTTGATGTATTAAATAAATACAAACATCATTATCTCCCTTAGCACATTCCCTTATTAACCAATCAGAATATCAATAAAGATTTGTTGCGGATGAGTTGTCACACCGTTCATAATGGCGCCCCGTTGATTCAAATATTAATCGTGTTCGATTTATTTCTTTAGACGTGTACAACATCATATCATTACAATTTATGTGGTTGCCCCTTTCCCTTGATGCCCTAAGCACGTGCTTATTTTGCTTCAGGGTTAATCCAACTCTGCTCATCAATGTTGGAAAGATCATCACATGTAACGAAAATCAACACTGCCTTAGACGCCTCTTACAGATCAAGCCGGCCTAATGACCTCTACTTGTTTAGTGGCATTGACCCCAACCCCTTACATGATAAGGACAGTCCACTCCCAACTTGAGAAGTTGAAGCAGGAAACTGACCCTGGTCATCCACTCCACGGATATAAACCAATGTCAGAGGCTCAAGTCAAGACAGTTTTCTACATTCAGTCGAACCACTGAACAACAGCGCTTCTAGTCAGCGTCTGTCCCTGTGGTGCAGCCACCTTAACAACGTAGAACACAGGCTCTCTCTCAACCCTACAGAATCCCCCCCACTAGCTCCAGTGATTCCTAGCCCTTCTGGTCTTGCCTGAATCACGCATTCCGCAAAATATACACGCCCAATCCAACCTAACCCATTTATCTATATAAATTCATAGCCCCATTATTCGGTTATTAAACTATATTTTGTGGCTTATGCCACTTTATCAAATAATTTTTATATATTATCCAAAAAAAAAAAAAAAATTTAATTTTTATTCTTTGAGGAATTTTTCCATATGCAGCAATTGTTATTTTCAAACGACTGACAAGAAAAAAAAAGAGTTTCATAGAGTGAAGCAAGATTAAGTCGCACGTGGAAGAACGTCCCATACCACCTACACGATAATTTGCTATGACACGAAGATGGGCATGCAAAAATCACCTCCTGGTCGGTAAAAGGTTAATTTATCTTCCAATATGCCATTCAAACGCGCCAACTGATCACTGTGTTAGTACTTAGTATGGATTCTAGCATAAATTCCCTTTTGAACGAATCTTGTAATACATGCATTTTTTATGGACGATAAATATTTTGTCCAAAGGTTTCATTTTCTGAGCCAAACGTGAAGAAGAAAAAAACATATCTAAATGCTGATCGATATTTGTTCTTTCTTTTAATTCATATGAGAGCCATTTCCAAACTACTGAATATTCATTAGGCTTATAAACGCCGTGGCTGAATGACAGCTTCAATATAGAATACTGGAGAGAAGCTTTATTGACAGTAACCATAGAATTCTGCTGGGAATTTTTGCATCAAACTGATAATACAGCCTTTAAAGTCAACCAAACTTCTTTATACATCCTTCATAATCCTCTTTAATTATATATAGACATATATACATACCAACTGTACATACGCACACACAGCACACAATATGGCGGTAATGGCAATGTTAGCCGTTTCCTTACAAGGATATATTCGACATTCATTGACTGAGCAGCCAGTGCTACTGTTGGTTGAAACTAGTAAAATATTTATCGCAAATCGGTTTTTCAGGAAGATAGCTTTCTCAAGTCTAGTAACTGTTATTGCTCTTCCTAACAGTGATATGGATTTCCTTTCTAACCTTTGTTTTAAAGTAGTATGAAACGACAACATCTTTATTATGTCATTATTTTCACATCGAGTTATATGTGCAATCCATTTTAGCTGTTGCTGTTGTTAACAATTCTCGTGTGATATGGTTTCTGTTATTGGGTTTAGATTTTGTTTGGGATTCTGTGGCGCCAGTTCACTAGGTTCGGAGAACGATGGTCTTCTCCAAAACGTACAGCACGAAATCCATTTTGAACTATTGATCTGGAGAAGTAGTTGTATACAGCTGACATTTTAGACATTTATGAACGAGTTTGACGCTATGACATTCATATTAAAGCCTCCGTCGAAGGAAATTATTTAAGAACTTGATTCGACTTTTTATGTTAATGATTTGGTTTTGTAGCAGCTTGCGGTTTTGGGCAAAACCCTCTTCAGTGTGTCAAAAGTATAGTTCTAAACTGGACAAAAGAGAGATATATATCATTAGAAACATAAAAGAAAGAAAGAAAGAAAGAAAGAAAGAAAGAAAGAAAGAAAAGAACATACAAACAGGTAAGAAAGGAAGACGAAGAAAAAAAGAAAAAAAGAAAGAAAGACAAAGAAAGAAAGAAGAACAAAGAAAAAGGAAAAGAACATACAAACAGAAAAGAAAGAACGATTGAGACAAAAAAAACAAAGAAAAGCAAAAGTTGAAACAAGAAAAAAGCAAAGAACATACAATGAAACAATATGAAAACCACTAAACAAATGAAGAAAATACAATAGGACAACAAAAAGAAAGAAAAAAGAAAGAATGAAATTAACAAGAAAATGGAAAAAAGAAGAGAAAAACGGAAAAGAAAGTACATTGTGATAACGAATGCAAATGATTAACAAATATCGAGAATAAAACGTTTTCCGGGAAATAAGAAAGTATAAAAATAAAACAGAAAATAACTGAAGCTGTGGAATCAATTCTCTCTCTTCTCTTTAGCGCCATCTAATATCTTCACTTCTTTTCTCACTATCACTTTCTCGTATGGCTCGAGAATATTTGATGAGCCATATATATTCAGTTAAGAGGAAGAAAAAAAGAAAAGACTATGAATAAAGACTTATATATTATTGAAACTCTATCCTACGCAGCATACATAATATGTGCAAACGTACATCTAGAAACGTTGTGTAAAATTATGTGGGCATACACAAACATATGCATATCTACAAATACATATATATATATATATATATATATATATATATATATATATATATATATATATATATATCAATAATTCCTTGGCTTAACAGTGAATGAGTTGAATTTTTGATCTGAATTTTTCAATGTATAATGTGTTATCTAGGTGATTAACATTCGCCACAGAATTAAGTGCATTTACAAGAAAATGATTATATTGTTAGATAGACATTTATAGCGTAAAAATAAATGTATATTAATCGTTAAGCTTCAAACTTAACGATATACCTTTGTATATAAAAAATATTTTGTGCATACTTACATATATATTCATATAAAATTAATTTTCAAATACGTATATATATATATATATATATATATATATATATATATGTATGTGTGTGTGTGTGTTACTTTTCAAATACGCATGTATATATATATATAGTACTTTTCAAATACGCATAAATATATGTGTATATATATATATATATATATATATATATATATATATATATATATATATATGTGGGAAACAATATATATTTATATATCAAGAAGAATTTTAGGAAAAGCATATATGCATATATATATGCATATCCTTATGCACTGCTAAATATATGTATGTGCAGCTAAATAGGTATGTCTACGTTATTTCTTTGTACATGTGTGGGTGTGTGTTTGTGTGTGTGTTCATGAATATGTATGTGTACCTATGTGATCATATTATGTATCATGTGCGTTGAAAATGCGATGAGCAATGACACAAAAAAGTCGCCACGAAAAAAAAAGATACACAAAAAGAAATAGTTATTGGGAAAAATCGTAAGTGATGCAAGAAAAAATATTCTAAAAATAGTCAAAATGGAGGTGATAAATACACAAAAAATATTTTAGAAACCAAAGAAAATATGGAGAATAATTGTCAAAAATTATCAACGCCTGAAATGATGGCAAATTTAGAGAGAAAAAAGTAAAGAAAAAGTATGGAATCAGAGGACAATGGCAGCAAAGACAGGGAAACGAAAAAGAGGCTGACGGAAGGAAAAGACACAAGGAGCGAAGTGAAAAAGGGGGAGACAACCGAGAGACGTTCTTTTCTTATAGTAAAGAAATGAAGAAAAATAGAAAATGGCAGTAAGTAAAAATAAGAAAAGGAGAAGAAAATGAACGATAAAAGGAAAGAAAGAGTAAAAGGCAAGAGATGAGAAAGAAAGAATGAAAATAACTACACGAGATAAAGTGTGTGTATAAAGTGTAAATATATATATATATATATATATATATATATATATATATATATATATATATATATATATATAGGAGAGAAAAAGAGTTATAATAAGGACGTTTATTATAGAAATAATTTAGAAAAAATCGACCAGAAAAAAAAGAATGCAAAAATGATAAATGTGAAAAAGAAGAAAACAAGATGGAAGGCGAGGAACGACCGAATCTGCCATAGAATATAAGATGACATCTTTATAAATCCTTCCGCCAGTCTGGCGCATCACTTGCTAAAAAATAGGGCAGCGTAGTAAGAATAAGTCCTTATCACACGTCTCTACATTCATTCACACTAAAGTCTATTCTGTATATAAAGAGTGTGCAATGAGACACAGGGAAACGGGCAGACATTCTGAAGACGAAGTGGGAAATGCTTAAAAGAGATAATGAAAGAGGACAAATGTATTATATATATATATATATATATATATATATATATATATATATATATATATATATATATATATATATTGGCAAGGATTTTTTAAGAAAGACGCAAATAAGTGAATAGAGTTCTGGGTGGTAAAGAACTAAGCGTTATAATGGCCGCGTTAGTCGGTGGACAGCCTACCACCCCACACGCCTCGTTCTGAAATCTGTACAAGGGATAGGCAGAGGGGTTTGGCGCGAAAACGATGAAGCAAGAATGAAGAGAAAAAAATGGCTGAAGTATGAAAAAGACCGGGTTAAGGGCTTTGCCGGTGCATTGAGGAGACAGAACGCAGTGCAACGGCGATGGGTTGGTCGATGCTGCGGTAGGCCAGGAGAGTGGTGAGAAGGGTGAGTCGCAGAGGAAATAATGTAGCAAAAATCGCTGTCAAAAAAAAGAAAACAATTTCAGTAAAAAAAAAAAAAATGGCCGTAATCTTTTTTCCTGCATCACGACATCATTTTTAAAAAAAAAAAACTCAATCGCACACGCCAGCAAAAACAAACTCACACACACAATATATATATATGCATGTGGGTGTATGTGCGTGTGTAATGTGTTGCAAATTGTGAATACAAAGGTGTTTATAAGTAAGAACGTCTTTATATGTGGAGTCATTTTCTCGAAGTATATATACGTACATGACATTTTCTAGAAGGAGATATACATTCAGGATATATTTTATAAATATTTATACATACATGATATTTTCTAGAAGTATATATATACGGAGATGGCATGTTCTAGAAGTATATATATTACGTACATGGAATTTAGTTAGCACACTGTCTCGTGCCAGACATCTTGCACATTTATAAATCCGCTATTCATCCGTGCATTAAATATTATTGCCATTTCTGGTTTGGTGCTCATGCTATATAGCTCGAGATTCTCGACAAACTGCAAAGAAAAGTCTGCAATATCATCGGTCCTGCCTTGGCATCTCGACTTCAGTTACTTTCTCACCGCTCTGACGTGGCTATCCTCGGTCTTCCTATAAATATTTTCGTGGCAGTTGTTCTAATCCACCCTCCGTCTTGTGTTGTAACCTAGGGATGTTTACTGAATAGAATAATCAAACGAAGTTGGTAATGAACGATAATACTTAGGACAAGAACAACACATATAAGATTCGCGAGCGGTGCCTAGTAGTAGTCAACTGCTAGAAGTGAGTCAAGTGAATTCCACAATGTATCTCCAACTCTAGGATATCTACCAACCGCCCCACGCGGTCAGATGTGGCACAAGGCCGAATTTAATGTGGGGTGTCTGTGCCCGTAGGCTCGGTCCAAAATTCCTCGTTGATTCCATGTAAAACGGAGTCGGGTAGCTGTTTCCCGAGACGAAACCTGCTCTTCGGCATAGTCTCGTCTGGGGATCCTCTCTGTTCGGAGGCAAAGAGTTTGACCAGCACAGCAGACCAACATTTACTACTGTATTTATGTGAATGGGGACATTATTCATTCACTCACAAGGCTTGGGGTAAACCCGTGATATGGTTTTCAGGCTTTTTCTAAAGGTGCCACATGCTGGGATCGGCACCACCAGTCCGATAACATCAGTCTCCTTTCTGGCAATCCCACGTCTCATGCGAACGTTCTAACCATATATTAAACGTTTGATTTTTTTTTCCTTTTTTTTAGTAGATATTCGTATTTAAGTAGACTCTCCGTTTTATTTATTAAACAGTGTGTTTATTTTCGTCTAACAACCTGAATATTCGAGAAATCTTATTAGTGAAATATATGCGCTCTCCGGCATATTTTTATCTCATAAGATTTCTCGGAGCGTCTACTTAAATACGAATATCTACTTAATCTGTCGGATTAATAAATAAAAATTCATTATTTTCTTCATATATATATATATATATATATATATATATACACACACGTTTCATTAAATAATATAGACAAGTGTTGTCTATTTATTTTATGTAAATTTTAAATTTTTTCGTAACGTCTGATAAGTTTAATAACATTATCGTTGAACGAAGAAAGAAATTCACAATATTGATCCATATTTTTTTTTTAATACAATCTAAGCTTTCGGCTTACATAAGCCATTATCAAAGATGTCAATTACAACATATTAAGCAATATACGGACAAGACAGTGATGACAGTCTGTGAATGTTTACATAGATGATTTCTAAGCAACGATAAACACGTGCAAATAAGACGCTAGAAGCGAAAATCGCACCGCATCTCATGACGTCACACATGACCACACGAGAGGAAATTGGAGAAGTATGAAATATGGAAAGCCGTTGATATAAACCAATGGTTTCTGTTACCAATTATAGACATTTAAGATGGATCAATATTAAAAAATACCTATTATACGAAACTTAATAAACCGCGCAAAAGCAAACTCTTTAAGAAGAAAGATTTTCTATACTGAATTAAAAAAATATTAAACAAACCGTCATTAATTATGACATTCCGAATTACATCGTTGACATCGAACAAATTAGTCAGGCTATTGGGAAATATTAATATAAAAATGAACATAATATGTCCTCAAATAACTCTAAACATATCACACTATTATACCGTAATCAAAGACGTTCTAACTATAAGCAGGAAGAAAAAATTCTAAATAGGCACATAAACACTAATATATTCCCCACTCATCCAAGTAAAGAAATAAAATCATTTATACATTATACTAAATTTAACACAAACAATCTAGTCGTCTATAATTACTCTTCTCCGTCAACTAGAGACTTACAAAAGACCAACATCGTAATCAATTTAAATGTCCATTAGCAGATTGTTAATACGCAAGCCTTATGTTTCCCTTGAATGATTATAGTTCAATCTAGAAACATTTAAAGGAACACACATTTCCATATTCACAGTTTAAACAGATATTAGTTGAAAATACATCAGTACTTCATTAAGATAAGAATAAACAAAATATTTAAATTCTGAAAGCCTTTTACAGAAGAGAATTGCGCCAAAAATAAAGTCAACTACGAATATATCAATAAAGTTCTTAAATGTTTGTAGTAGCAAAGTGTTATATAAATGATATTAAATTAAAATACTACAATTAAGAAGTCTTTTTAGAATATCACTTAAGTTACCTCCCTTACATAGCCGTGAAAAAATATTTTGAATTTATGGTGTTAACGCATAACACATCAATATATAAGCAACCCCTGAAGATGATCCCAGATGAGACTGAAAGTACTTGAGAAAATAAAAATTATTCATAAGAAAATTTAGGAATTTTTCTTGATCAATTTTCTACAGCCACCAAGAAATTAATTCGTGGATTTGAAAGGATTAAAACTCAAATAAATAGACATAAAACGTCTAAATTATTTAACCAAACAGGCTTGAATGAAAATATGCTGCCTAAATATATATATATATATATATATATATATATATATATGTGTGTGTGTGTGTGTGTGTGTGTGTGTGTGTTGTGTGTGTGTGTATTACTAAATGTACTAGGATGAAAAGAAATATATATGAATTATTCAATATTCAACATTGAAATATATTGTCACATAGACAAACATTAGTATATGTATGATGTGAAAAACTGAACAAAGAATATACTAAGAATGGGGAAGAAATATCGCATTATTGATATAAACAATATTTATATCTGTGACTTTATCTGTAAGACCACCACGTGGAGTGATATGAACTGGACGCTCGATTCAGAATGTACTTTCTCAAGAGACTGCGACACCATAAAATCGTTAGCAGGTCATAAACAAATACGAGATATGGCCTCATGATACCTCGAATATAGGTGTAAAAGAAAAACATTATCGCATTAGAAAAAAATATGCAAAACTATTTCACTATTTCAGTCGGTTATTCTGTTGAACCTGTAGATTCCCTATGGAGCATACGCCTTGTCATGCTAGCTGTTGTTTCAGTTGCAAGTAGGGATTTTTTATGGGTTAGTGTTGATAGCTACACGCAGTAGTAGAGCAAAAGTTCTCAGCGCCTTGAGATTGATACAGTTTTTTCGCACTCATCCAGTTACCCGGTTAATGTTTTCCAATGGAATGAAATAGAGGGATTATACTGAATCAATTGCTAAGTCTGCTGCTCGTAAAGTTAATTCATTGTGTCATGCTAGATAATTTTTTTACGTCCCCAATATGTAGTTCACAGCTTGCGTTACCTCTTTTGTTGACAACCATTTTTGTAAGTTAATAGTTCTTCCTTCTTGTTTTCCTTTGATACCTTACCCATTAATTCTTTCAGTTTTATTCTGAGCTTGCTATCAAGACATTGATAAAATTAACTACATCCAGCAGCAAGATTGGAGGTTTTGTCCAGTGTGGAACCGCTTCTTAATTGCTGCACTGTGACCCGGAGTAGTAGCACCTGTTAGGGTCCTAGATATGGGCAAATAGTGAACCCCCCCCCAAAAAAAAACACTATGGAAGTATAAGAATGCACATTTATAGTAAAATGACCATCAAGCCATATTTATAGTAAAATTACCAGCAACACATTTTATTTGTTTTGAATGCATACAATATTCCGATTTCAGCATTAGAACCCATAGAAGTTGATATGTTGATAAACAAAATCAGCCAAACAACCAACATAAAAGAACTCTTTCATGATATTATGCCATATAATATACGACTGCATTCCAAAATATAACTTCAACAAATCTACAACATATCACCACCTGCGAACATCAAGAGGAGCAATTCTTTGCACTTTCTTGGGCTCACGTTTTCCACTGACATGAAGTGGAGTGATTATATTGAATCAATTGCTAGATCTACTGCTAGGAAAGTTGGTTCACTCTGTCGTGCCAGACAGTTCTTCTCGTCAGAATCCATCTTGCACATTTATAAATCTACTATTCGTCCGGGCATTGAATATTGCTGCCATATCTTGTTGCATATCTCTCTTGTTCTGTGGGGTGGGGGCGGTCTTAGGCGACAGTGTTGATTCACTTTTGTATCCTCTCTCTCTCTCCCTCTCTCTCTCGTGCTGGGGGTGGGGTTCGGAGATAAAAGACATAAACAAAGAGAATTTTAATTGGGTTCGGAGATAAAAGACATAAACAAAGAGAATTTTAAACTTAGCTGGTTTATTAACGTCAATGTATACACCTGCTAACTATCCAGTGGGGTCGTTCTCACAGGCCACTGGTAGGACGCTTCCAAACACGAAAGTAACCACGTCTACATTGTTTGATGGTTTAAACTCGACTCCCCCCACCCCAATTCTTTTTCTGTATCTATCATGCCCACGCCGGCTCAGCCGATCAAAATCGACTTCCTTTATTTTGTCTTGTATCTGACCGCTAAGGTCAACCTAAGGAAGTCAGAGCAGAGATACACTTCCCCTATAAATAACAGCCTGTTAAACTATTGTTTAACAATCTGATATGGTACTCAGTGCTGTATATCTCGAGATTCTTGACAAGATTCAAAGAAGGAATAGTAATGAAATCAATACCGACCTGCCATCACGACTTAAATCACTTTCTTACCGACGTGGACACCCCCACTGTCTTTTCTAGAAGTATTTTCATCCTTCTTGATACCTCGACTGCAGGAATTTAAGCGTGCTACTAGACTGACAACTACGCCTCGCCGTTTTACTGTGAAACTAGCTAGATGCAACCGTATGTTCTATTCTAATAATTTCATTTCTCGTACTTCTCGCCCCTGCCACCTACAATCTTTAAAAATGTAAATGCAACACCAATCACTATTCTTTTATTGTCCTTTCTCCTCACTCCCCCCTCACTAAAGTTTTCTCATTCTCTTTCACTTATAGTAATATCTGGCGTCCTAGTGGCCTTATCGCCTTCTTTGGGGGTGAAATTATAAAACACACACACACACACACATAATATATATATATATATATATATATATATATATATATATATATGTGTGTGTGTGTGTGTGTGTGTGTGTGTGTGTGTGTGTGTGTGTGTGTGTGTTCGTGTGTGTGTGTGTGTGTGTGTGTGTGTGTGTGTGTGTGTGTGTTCGTGTGTGTGTGTAAGGGTATTGTGACTTATTAGTCTCTGAATGACAATAAAAAATAATCAATTAGCACTATACCCGGACCAAAATAAATTCCCAATATCATAATTGCAAAGCTGGAACTAATTGAATTAAACCTCACCAATAAGTATGTTTACATAATTTGCAAATTATCATATTTGATAATTATATTATATTTATAACCTTCTTCTATATGCCGTGTCCCTTCAGGACGTTATCGATCATGGCTCTTCACAATTTCCTGACCTTTGTAACTCTTAAAAACTTTTGTCTTTTCTCTTTTTATCTCTCCTAAACCCTATTCTGCCGTCTATTCCTCGCCTATGATTCTATTTCCCATTATTTCCAATTATCGCCTATGATCTAACTTCACATGATTTCCCCATCATCACCTATAATCCTATTTCCCATTATTTCCCCATGACCGCCTATGATCATATTTCCTATTATTTTCCCATGATTTTCCCATGAGCGCCTATAATCCTATTCCTCATTCTTTCCCCCATCATCGTTCATGATATTATTTCCCATGATTCTCTCGTGATTGCCTATGATCCTCTTCCCTATTATTTTCATTAACACTTTGTATACATAGCTAGATTAACTGTCTATATTTCTGAGATGAGATATTATGTACACTATTTACATTATTCAGACTATTGTCTTCATCTTTGTCGCCATATTTATTACAACATTTCGGTCGTTGTACGCTCCGGCCTTCTTCAGGTGGTTGGAATGTCGAACTGAATCCTTTATTTCGCTCACTGGGTAGACTGTTCTAATTCCACGTGCCATATCTAATGAATGTCAGTTATCAGTTATCTCCTGCTTAATTCTCCTCTCCAAGTTCTCCACTGCCTTAACCAGGTATTGAACTCACACTCTTTGGCTCCTGTCACTGGATCTAACTAACGCCTTTATCCACTGTGCCATGTGTCCTTGACATCCATTAAAAACATGGAACGTGGAACTAGAACAGTCTACCCCAGTGAGCGAAATAAAGGGTTCAGTTCGACATTCCAACCACCTGAAGAATGACGGGGAGTATAACGGTCGAAACGTTGTAATATGGCGACAAAGATGAGGACAATAATCCGAATAATGTAAATAGTGTAGCTAGACTAATTTTTAAAAAGAAAAATTCTGCAAAATGTAAAAAGTAAACATTCGAATAAGGGGAAAGAACACGGGGTTCACAGTTCTAGCATATTTTCACAACTCTAGAATGATTAGCTAGCTGCTTAGAAATATTATACATTATATGAAAGCTTGTAGCTAAAATATTGTCAACAATAACGTGTAGCTACCACATGAATGTCCTGATTCCCATTGTAAATCAACTCTATGGGATCAGAAATTCATTTATACATTTTAGAAAGAGAAAATTTTATTTAAAACATTTCTTTAGGTGTGGATAAGAGTTGAAGCAGAAGATATGGACTAAATTGTTTATGTATTTAAAACAATGAAGGTTTTGACTGGGTGATCTATTAGGAAAAGGTGATATATCGATGAAACCAATGGCATGGTAACAAATGTGAATCATCTCAAGCACATTGAAACCTAAACTTATTGCCTAATTATACAATTTGGTGGTCAGATCTGACACTGTCTACAAGAAGAAAATTTGTCAGACAGTGGATATTGCTTTTTCAGTCGTCTATGGAATAAAATATAAAAGAAGTTAAAAGTTGGAAAAATACCTAGACCTTAATAGAGAACTGAAATTTACCCAGCTGTTTTACCGCACTTGGAACATTCTCGACAAGTCTTGAGGTGCAATTGGAAGAATTGGAAATCCAAGAAAGAATCAAAAATACCCAGACGACAATATCAATATCTGACGTCTTCTTTATCAGCAAATTTAAAGCCTTCTTTATCAGCAAATTTGACGTCTTTATCAGCAAATTCGACGTCTTCTTTATCAGCAAATTCGACGTCTTCTTTACCAACAAATTTTCCATCACCTGTATCAGCAAATTTAACGCCTGCTGTAGCGATTTTCTAAGCGTAGCTTAGATGTGGCACAAGGCCGGAATTATGGGGCACACAGTGAGGATCGAACTCACTACTCAGTCGTAATTGATCTAGCGAGACAAGCCTTCTAACCATTACATCACGCCAAGGTGCCTAACCGCCTGCTGTATCTACGGTGAAAGTCTTACTACCGGTGTGAAAATTCAATGAATACAAATGATAACAAACTTTCTGTAAGTACTGGAACAAATGGTAAACCAAAGACACAATATTTGGTGAATGTGGAAAATAAGCGAAAACTTCAAAATCAAGCTGGGACAATTTTTGCATAGTTACCACCAAAAATATGCGGTCTAGTAACATTCTGGTAGAATAATACATGTTTCATCTAAATTCTTTCTAGAGTTTTGATTGATTTATCATTTACGGTTATTTTGCTTTGTAAAAATATTATATTTTTTTGTGCATTAACAATTTCTTGAGTATAATAAGGATTTTTTCCAAATAAAAGTCCTACTATTTAACGCCAAAGAGAGGGGATGGATTTAGGACTTCTTCAAGCGTAAGTGGCTGTAACGAACTCAACTAGAATTCAAACTCGGTTCTCCGACTTCTCATTCCGAGGCGCTGTCTATTACACCACCCACACATTCCTGGAGACATATTTTCATCACTGCCTTTGATCGATCTAATTATCAGCAGGGCGTCCGCATACCGCAGCGGTTATCAGCGCGGCCAGTGAGCGAACCGAGTTCAAATTCCAGCGGAGGCCGTTCACCTCATTTCCTCAAGTTATTAGTA